ACGGAGGAAATCCGCGTTTTCCTTTCCTCCACACTCACTTCCTCTTTCCTTTTAGTCCTTCCGCCTTCGTCGTTGTGTTCGTTTTTATTAGCGTCAATACCCTCGCCGTTCTTGTCAATCTTTGTTTTTATTGACACCAACTTTCCTCGCCCTCATTTAGCCTCTACCGACGCTATCTCACTACCCGCTTCATCATCAACTGCTAAAAAAAAAGAAAAAGGAAGTCGGTGACCTTTTTGTAATGAAAAGGAATGGCCTACAAGACCACCACACAACTGATTCTACGTGGGGATCAGGGACCTCGGTAACAACGACCGGCCCTTGGTAACCCAAAGTAACCGTATTCTGATCATCTAATTGTAGTAAGATTCAAACTCGGGTATGAATTTCAGCAGTTCGGAGGTGTACCAACTGCACTAGGCTCTCGGGTTCTTGCAACGGTTCCTGTATTGGTTCAGAAAACGAAGCTCCAAAAAAATAAGTAAAATAAAACAATAAAAAAAGAGAAAAAAACCTGGGAACTTTATCGAGGAGGAAGGGGGCTGTTGACACCCCTTTGTCCCACTAGTCGGTCCCGAACTTGGGGCCGACGACAAAATCAAGGGGGATAGTCTCGCCGGCCCCTAGGCCCCTCGATTTCCTCCACACTGCTCCTTCGCTCCTTCGCCGTCGGACATCGACCTCAATCCTACACGTACACACGAGTCAAATGTCCAAAAAATAGGAAGAACTCAATTGACATGAACAGGATTGGCATCCCCGACACCGAGTTTTGGCAACTGCCACATTGCCATCCTCAGGGGGGTACCACCATCTTCTTCCCTCGTACTACACCTTCTTCCCTTCCAACCTGCTTTTGTACTGCTCATCGATAACACTCTGGAATGCCAGCTACTAACAAGGATGTGAGTCCTGGATGAGGTCGACTACGACACACGTACACATTTGAAACGAAACTCGAAGACATTCCTGTCCCGTGTCATGCTCTTAAAAATGTACCAACCGGTTTTCCTTGGCCCCAGTCTGTCCCAAGTACCGGCATCCCAAATGTTCTAAACACGCTTCTAAGTCATCCCTGCCCGCATCAAGTCCTAAAGAAATACCAAAACAATAGTACCGGTATTCCTTCGCCCATTATGTCCCTGGTACCGGTACACCCGTTATTATCCGATTGCTGTTGGTTCAATTCCCTGCGCCGAGGCGCCTACTGAAAAATCTAGAACGGTGTGCCTAAGTCTAGATACATCAAAGCAAAGGAAAGGTCCCTGGATCCAGTCTCAAACTGGTACACACATCGTATAAGACTTGAATGATCTACCTATATAGCACATCAACATATAGCCCAGACATCCCATCATAGGCCCTGTCCGATGATGCGTGGTAAGCGCTGTTGCGTACAAGAGTTTTTCATAATCAGAATAACTGTTGAAGACTTAAAAACATAGATTGACTAATGATGGAAGTTAAAGAATGCATATTTTTCTCCCTATCACTACTGGAAGCTCCCATCACTTTGGCTCAATGGCCCAGGCTTAGAATTTGCAGTCCTAAGGCTGTGGTATAGTGGGTTCGCACGTTTGTGTAGTATATTGGGTTCTTGCCTTTGTATCAAGGTGGCACAAAATTTTTGCAATAGTTGGTTGGCAAAAAAAGGGTCTAGTGGACCGATCCCTTGCATTTTAGTGGAGAAGCGACTGGTAACTAGTGGCAGTACCGATACCTCTGAAATTTGAAGGATCTGTCCTAGGTTTTCCATGAACCCTGGTGGTCAAGATTTTGAAGGGAGGGTGTGGGACAAGCAACACTTGTGCCTATGAACTTACAAAGTTTTTGAGGTAGGTACATGCACACTACTTGTTTGCATCTGTGAACAGATGCATGCGAAAGGGGGGCACATTTCAACCTCTCTCTCTCGCTCTTAAAACAAAAAGACTCTTAGGGCTGCATTGCCAGTGCGCCTGCGGTAGAAAATGTTACAAAATCTTGTGGTCCCAATCGGATGGTTGCAATCAAAGCGATATTGCACGCATGGGATTTCATAATTGGGGGAGAAGACTCTGGATTGTGTATACTTGGGAAACCTGCACCTGATCGGTGAACTGGGTCGGTTGGCCTTTCTTGACACAGGTATAGGACCAGTGGGGTCTGGTCTTTAGACATAGATGCACATGGCTCTACGGTGCCTAGCCCCAATTGAGCGTCACTGAACTGTGAGATCATGACCTTGTTTTTTTCTTTCTTTTTTTCTAACTACGCTGTACTCTTCTCTCTCTCTCTCTCTCTCTCTCTCTCTCTCTCTCTCTCTCTTTTAATTATATATTTTTATTATTATTTATAAAGTCCAGGGTGTTGTAAAGGCCACTTACTAGGCTCACATTGATCGCTGGAATATGTCAGCCATGGTTGCCCTGAAGAGGCGAGGCTACGTCTCATGCCATCCTTGCGTCAATGCTCAAATTCTCTCAAATTCATCTTTCACTACCTACCTACCACTGCTCCTAAGGCTATACAGGCACAGCGACCTCTCATGGTGAAGTGAATATTGCATGTTGCCTCTTGCCCTAGTGGTTTAGGCTGCAGGGTTGGGGCCACTGTTGAGGGCCTGCCTAACACAGAAACTGAGGATTTTGCCAGCAGTTGTGCCTCCCTTTCCATCTTCCCCCACCCCCATCGAGTAATTGACTTACCGTGAGGGCACGGGTGCGCAGCCCGTCGTTGGTTTGTTTATGTGGTTCGGGAAGGGTAAGGTAGTGATTATGCTAATGTTCGCTATATATAACTCGAAGAGAGTGTGTGTGCGGTCCCGGTTGGTGCTTTATTGACGATGTTCATGGGACGCTGGACCCAGTTTCCAACAGGTGGCGCNAAAAAAAAAAAAAAAAGTTATATTCGAATACAAAAGTTTTTTTTTAATCTTCAACTCAAGGACCACGGCGTCCTCCGCCTCCTACAGGCTGCTACCGGTCCTCCGCAAGCAACAACTACTTGTTTTCCATGAATTGCCCCCCCAACAAATTCGCCACCCTTCCAAGTACCATTCAGACCTGAACGGGGGACCCGTATGACCAAAGGACGAAAATTTGATTCAAGGGTATAAAACGCATCACCGACCAGTTGCGAACTCAGGGGTATAAAGTGCACCCCCTGACGGGCTGCAAATTGACTTACCGTGAGGGCACGGGTGCGCTGCGCGTAGTTTGTTTGTGGATGTGGTTCAGGAAGGATAAGGTAGTGATTATGTTGTATGTATGTTTTGTCATGTTCACTATACCCAACTTGAAGAGAGCGTGTGTGTGGGATCCCAATAGGGGCTTTATTCATGATGTTCATGGGACGTTGGACCCAATTTCGAGCAGGTGGCGCTCCCCATCAATAGACAAGAGAATGTGCGTGCGTGTGTATGTGAGAGAGAGAGTGTGTGTGTGTGTGTGTGTGTGTGTGTGTGTGTGTGAGAGAGAGAGAGAGAGAGAGAAAGAGAGAGAGAGAGGAAGAGAGAGAGAGAGAGAGAGAGAGAGAGAGAGAGAGAGAAAAACCTGAAGCATGCAGCATGTCAGTGGCGGGGAGCACAAGGGCAGGCGCTGACCTGCAAAAGAAAAAAAAAAGTAATTTTATTGGAATACACGAGTTTTCTCTTTTCAAAATCTGAATAGAAAGGGTAGTTGTTATATTCGAATACAATGTGTACGTTTTCTATTCGAGGAGCTTTGGTATTCGCGAAAAGTGCACCTGCACCTTTTCAATTTTGAAAATGGCCCTCGGCCTCCTACGGGCTCCTATGGGCAGCTATCGGTCCTACGCGGTCCTGGCCCTTGCAAGGCCCCAAAACCTCAAAATGCCCACCCTCCCGACGACCACCGACGTTGAAATTTGATTGACGTTGAAATGTCTCAGCGGGGGAAAACGCAACCCTGACGGGCTGCAAACAGCACTGTCCAAGGCCAACACTGCCACACACCGCACAGAACCCACACCACTCACACTCACACCCATGTTGGCCATAGACCCTACTAATGCCGACCAGGGGGATCAAGCTGACTATCTCAGCTGGTTGGCAACAAGTTTGCCGCACCTGCTCTTGGGGATTGAACCCACGTCCTTCTGAGTGCTCCAACCCTGAATTTTGTTTTGTTTTCTTCCCCTTCTATTTTTGAAAAACGTTGTGCAGGAGAGGGGACAGTGCAGGGGAAGTCCCGCGGAGGCATACCATACCAACGAGCCTACCAGTAGCTCATTCGGTACAGCCATGAACTGTTGAATACAGGCCTGAGTTCGAAACGAACTGAACTCATTGTTGACTGATATGAAATAATTCAGAACAAGCTGGGGCCGGACGGTGGTATCTCAAGGCGGTCTCTTGAAAAGCAAAAGAGGGAGGGAGAAAGGAGGAGGAAGAAGAAGGGGGGAAAGTCCCGACGGGAGGGATCCTTGCCGGCGGGGTGGGTTCACACAGCACACACATGAATCTCTCAAGTCTATGGACTCTCGACTTGAACCACCCACGGGAAGGTCTTGACCAGCCGCTGGCAACGGGGCCCTACACCCCCGAACTCAGACGCGGGCTCAACAACCCCCCCCCCAGGGCAACCTGCTGGGAGGCAGTACATGCACCATTGTCACCTGTTGCCACAGAAGGGCGAAACCATGACTCGTCTATCGAGATCGATCAATCAATCAAACAAGGTTTATCATTTTTTCCTCGGATTCCTCTTTATCATATATTCATATATGATATAAATAGCCAAAATTTGGGTCATCAATCCCTGCCGGGGCCACCCATCCACTCACTGCGTCGTGGCGGTAGTTTATCGGACTTAGGGAGGAGCTCCGACGGTCCGACGGGCCGACGGGTCTGGGCTTCCATTCTACTAGTACCACGCGCAGCTTTTTCATTTCCGAGTTTGTTACAGCCCGAGAGGGGCCGGAAGACGGGGACGGCCAACCGGTTTGCCATACATACGAAGGCTTGCCACCGCGGCGTCGCGAGCGGCGCGCAAGGCGGGGCTAGCTTGTGTTGTTGAACCCGCGCCCCGCCGACCAGACGGGTTAGAATGAACGATCGGGCTCGCGACAGACCGACCGGCCAACGGAGCGAAGGCGGGTTGGCGCAGTAACTGTCCCCGGCGGTGCCAACGGAAACCTTGCCTCCTCTCTTCTCCTCTCTCTCCTGCAGCCATCTCTTGATCTCTCCAGCTGATTACTCCTTCCGTTCGCCGCCACACGTTTTCCAGAGACCGCCGTCTCTTGATCTCTCCAGCTGATTACTCTTTTCGTTCGCCGCCACACGTTTTCCAGAGACCGCCATCTTTTGATCTCTCCAGGTGATTACTCTTTTCCTTTGGCGCCACCCGTTTTCCTGTCGTCTCTGGCTCTGGCTCTGGCGTTTGCCAGCCCCTCTGGAGGGACGGGAGGGGCGATGAGCATGTGTGTGTACGTCTTTAGCGCACCACTGTGGCTTCAGCAGCGCCAGTGGGCGCCCTTCTTCTTTCTCTGCCTACCGTTTTTCACGGCGCCGTGACTGCGCCTGCTGCTCCACGATCGTTTACCTCCTCTGATTCCTGTCCCTCGTTCTCCTGTCACATGCCGTCTTGGGATAGAGGGCTTTGGTGTCGTGATCTTGTCAATTGGTAGGGAAGGGCACACAAATGCGTTCATCGTGCTCGGCCGGGCGAGGGAGGCAAGGCAACTGCTACGTTGCTGCGCTGTCTCTTTGCGGCAATTTACCGCCTCCCCTGTCCGTCTCCACTCCGTCTGACCGCTTTTCAAGTAACCTTTCGCCGTCTTTGTCCCCCTCGTACTCCTTTCGGTGATTTCCGCGATCGAGTCTGCATTTTCTCCATGAACTGACGGTTCCGGCGGCGTTCGGGTAGCTCGTGGGCTGTCGACGTGGCTGTGTGCACTCACACACACACACACACACACAGACACAGAGAGAGAGAGAGAGAGAGAGAGAGAGAGAGAGAGAGAGAGATGAACGACGGCGGGGATGGGGGACCGGGGATGAAGCGGGCGAGGTTGGTTCGGCCTCAAGGATGGGGGATGGATATGGGTCCGATGCAAGGGCCTCCTGGAGGAATGCAGAACCCAGGGATGGTCCAAGGGCTAGGACCAGGGCCAGGAATGATGCAAGGACCAGGAATGGGCATGATGCCTGGACCAGGAATGATGCAGGTACCAGGAGTGATGCAAGGACCAGGGTCAGGTATGATGATGCAAGGATCAGGGTTGGTGCCAGGTCCGGGAATGATGGGGGTCCACGGAGGAGCAATCGGTGCAGGCGGCGATATGATGGGGGATCGACCGCCTCTTTGGATGAACGACATGGCCGGTCCTCCTCAGCCTCCATCTTGGCTCGATAGGAGGGATGCGCCGCCACGTCATCGTTCCTGGGGCAGCGGCGGCGACATGCATCAACCGCAACATCAATCACCACATCAACAACAACATCAACCGCAGCATCAACCACAGCAGTACAACTCAGGCTATGGGCAGCAGCAGCAGCAGCAGCAGCAGCAGCAGCAGCAGCAGCAGCAGCAGGTCGCGCCGCCGCCTCTGCGGTCCCCACCCCCACCTCCAAGGCCCTACGAGCCACCGGACGTTAAGCCGACGAGCACTGAGCTTGCCGCTGCCGTGTCTAATTACCAGAGTGGCGGGGCGGACGTGAAGCCTATCATCCAGCCACCGTCAGGTCCCACTCCACCGAGGCGCCAGATACAACCGGTCGTGTGGTCAGAATCTCCTTCGGGGCCAGCAGCAGCCGGGGCGTCGTCATCAAGTGCCGCTCCGTCTTCCAGCGCCGCCGGTACGCAGCAGCTACGGCAGGTGAAGAAGGAACAACCCGAGGGGCGCACGTGGGACCAGCAGGTTCAGGAGAGCGGGGATCCCTCAGATCTCAGCGATGTCCGACTCAATGCCGCGGACTGTACCCTGGATTTCAACTTGGACCCCGATGGGCTTGGCGGGTCCGGGCTGTGGAAGGGCGGCTTCGCCTACTGCTGGTCGGGCATACGAGCGAACGTGGGGTTGCGTCTGGGGAGCGGCGGCGGCGGCAAGTACTGCTTCAGCTGCACCGTGACAGAGGTGCAGGACGTCTCGTCGTCCGACATGTCAGTGGATCAGCAGCACGTGTGCAGAATGGGGTTCTCCCTGGGAAAGGTGGATGTGGGATCCTTGGGTCTAGTGCCTCACAGCTATGGGTTCGGTGGCACGGGCAAAGCTGTGACCGAGGAGAGGTACACTCCCTACGGCGAGATGTACGGTCTCGGGGACACCGTGACTTGTTGCGTGGATCTGGACTCCGTGCCGAAGGCCAAGGTCTCGTTCATGAAGAACGGCCGGTGGCTGGGAACCGCTTTCGAGGTCGATCGGCAGAAGGTGCTGATGGAGTGCGACAACGAGGCTTCGTCGGCGGGACCCGGGGCGGCAATCATTCCAAGTCTGACGTGGCGGACGGCGCTGTATCCGCACCTCTTACTGAAAAACGTGGCCGTCAGGCTGCATTTCTCTCTCAAGGATGGCTTGAAGCCGCCTCAAGGCTACCGAGCGTGGAACGAGGCGGCGTACGCTGGCAGCCATGCTCTTCCTGGACCGGGCTTCTCTCCCTGGGAAGATTGCGAGGTGATGATGATGATAGGCCTGCCGGGCTGTGGGAAGACGGTTTGGGCGGAGCAGTGGCGGCGCGAGCACCCCGACAAGCGATACGTTGTGCTTGGAACAGATCTTGCGCTGGAGCAGATGAAGGTCATGGGGTTGCTGCGGAGGCGGAACTTCGCGCAGCGGTTTGACCTGATGATGCCGCGCGCCACCGAGATATTTAATTCGCTCCTGGAACGTGCTTCCAAGATACCGCGCAATTACATATTGGATCAGAGTAATGTGTACGAAAGCGCAAGAGGGCGGAAGCTGAAGGGGTTTCAGAGATTCCGCAAGCTGGCGATAGTCATGGTGCCGACTGATCAGGAGTTCGAGCGCCGGCTGAAGAAGCGACTAGACGACTTCTCTAAGTCTTTGCCTGAAGACGCGCTGAACGAGATGAAGGTGAATTTCAAGCTGCCGTGGCCGAAGAGTAGCTCAAGGAAAGGAATGAAGGACGCGGAATTCGACGAAGTGATATTTACAGATCTGGACCGAGATCCGGCGCAGGAGATGGTGGATTACTACAGGGAAAAGGCGGAGGCGGATCGGAGGCAGGGGA